CCTCCTGAAAACTCAGGAGAACAGATGGAGTTCTGAATGGCCATGCCCACCGTGGGCCCAGAGAATGAAGTGGCACTGTGGGATTGAAAGGTCAAAGGTTAGGGTTCCAAAGTAAAAGTGGCCAGAGCTTCAGGCCCTCACAGAGGGAGCTGGGGTATGAAATTGGCCAGGCCAAGGCAGAGCCAGACCCTGCTGGCTGATCCTGGGGGGGTGTCTTACGTCACCAACTGGGCACTGTCGTGGGGCAACCGAGGCAGCAGGTTTGTCCGGCGCCAGTGGAGGAAGCTGTCTAACGTGAGACCTGGGTTCCGGTTTATCTCTATCAGGTCGTGCTGGGTCCAGGCCTCCAGGCCCACTAGTGCCACCCGGACATTCATAGGCCTGAAGAACTGGAAGAGAACTGGGACTCAGGAGAGGAGTTCCCAACGTTGGGGGCCATCAGGATGCTGTCAGGCCTGATACTCACTGTGTCCAGGAGGAGGGCCACTTCCAGGGTGCGGTTCAGTAGGCTCTGGAAGCCCCGGTGCCTCTGGACCTGCGGGTCAAGAGAGGTGACCAGGAAAGGTAGCACGGCTGGCAGAGGTCAGGGGAGGGCAGCCAGGGACTGGCCAGCTCACCTCGGAATGGTCAGCCACAATCACCAGCTCAACAATCTTGGTCTCTGTCACCACGTCCCGCCTCCACTGTGGACAAGAGGAAGGAGCATCAGACACACCCACCAGTCACCACCCGCAGCCACGCCCAACTGGCCAGGCTGTGTCCACACCCACCCTGTGTGGTCAAAGCGAAGAGAGTGAAGAGTCCATTTTACAGGGAACCACGGAGAACCTGGGAGGCCGGGGACTTGCCCAAGTGGACTAAGAATAGGTTATGAAGCTGGGAGTAGAGCCCTGCTTTTCTGGCTTCAAATTCAGTGCTTTTTCCAAATTAAGGAAAAAAAAAAAAAAAAGCTGACACCATCAAATACTTAACATATGCCAGACAGATTGGAGTTCTAAGCATTTACATACATATATATATGTATGTAGATACATTTAATCTTCACAGTAATCCTATAAGGTAAGTAGTTCCATTATCCCCATTGAATAAATTGAGTTCTTACTGCTTGATGATCAGTAACTATGTATTTGCTATATCCAAGTGAGAGCTCTCTGCATTTGGATCATAAGACAGATGAAGGGTTTGAGTCAAGTGCCTGCATCCAAATCCTGGAAATACCATGTATTAGTTGAATGGCCTTGACCAAGTCACTTAACCTCTTAGAGCCAGTTTTCTCACTAAAACAGAGCTATGGATAGCACCTACCCCCCACGGTTGCTGGAGTGAGTGAAGGAGTTAATGTTTACAAAGTGCCTGGTACTGCGAAATCGCTCCATGAGCAGGAACTGTCGTTACTATGAGCCAATAGTTCTGAGGGCCAGGGGGCCAAGCCCGGGGACGACAGAAGCCCAGCCCTCCTGCCTTTCCTCCTCACCCGATGAGTGTGACGCTGTCCCAGGGGGTGCTCCGGTAGAGCCTGCGTGAGCACAGATGCAGGCCAGCTCAGGGCACAAGTGTGGCGCGGCAGCAGGAGGTCTTGGATCCGGGAGATGACTGGGGGACCCTGAAGATCCCCAGGCCCCAGCTCCACGGAGTAGCTTCTCTCTGGGGACAGGATCACTAAGCCCCTATGCGAAGATGCAGGAAGTCAGAAAGCTTACCAGCTCTATACCTGTTTACCTGCACTCTCTCCACCTTCATGGAATAGACCCCTTGTACCTGAGCCCAGAGCAGGTGCAGAGAGAGACCCAGGAGTGGGCGTGGCCATGCACTCTCCCCTCGTAGCAGCAGTTCTCCTACAGCAGAGAAACATGAGTGCTGACCTGAAGGCCAGGCCAGATCTGAGCCAGGAGGCTAGCTTGTTGGTGAGGATATGCAGTGTCCTCCCATCTTCTAGGAATGGCACCTTCCAGTTGCCCCTTCCCTTATCCCCTCGGACCAGAAACAGGGCACAAGATGGCCTGACTCACCAGAGTATGTCCCTCACTGACCACCCGGGTGCCATCAGGCTGGTACCACACCAGGGTTGGGCGGCCTGAGACTAGCTCCCTGCAGAATGAAGAAAAAGGAGGGCAGGGTCAGCTGCCTCTTAGGATAGTGCAGTGACAGCTTGAGGCCTGGAGAGGGTAGAGGGGCAGCTGGGGGCTAGGCAATCCCCCCGACCTTCCTGCTTCCCCTCGAGTAGCAGAGTATGGTGGTTGGGCCATAGACTGGCTACAAACCCAGGCTATCTGAGTTCCAATCTAGTTTTTAGCACCCACCAGCTGTGTGACCTTGGGGGAGTTATTTAATGTCTCTGTGCCTTGACTTCTTCACCTATGAGGCCAATAATGATACATAATAGTATCTACTTGATAGAGGTTGTTATGAAGATTTAGTGCGTTCAGGCTCTTAGTACCTAAGCACCACATCGTAGTACCACCTCGTAGATGCTATATGAGTTGTTAGTCGTGTTATTAGTAACATTACTGCTATAATTATTACCTATTCTGCAGCAGCTCCAGGATATGACTCTCACCATCCAATTCCAGTTTGATCCGCAAAGCCTCAGGCAGACTGGTCTGTGGGCACCAGAGGGCATGTCACCTCCCTGGCCCTGTCTGTAACTCCTATCTTCTCTAACCAGAAAACCTCAGGCCCTTAGGAGAGCACCGACGATTAGATCATTGGTGGGGGGATCCCGAGGGAGGGGCCAGGAAGCCCTGCCTGGCCTGGGGCATTGTTCTGGGGGGTTGTGTGGGGAGGTCAAGGAAGGTATCTGAGCCGCCCCTTCTCGGCTTCCTGCCCAGAGAGGAAGCATCATGTAGGGCCCAGTGCAGGCCCCAGCCCTTCCTCTGACTCAGCTTTAGAATTGGGAGGGGAGGGTGTCTGGTGGGGCCCGACCCTCTCCAAGTCCCCCCACTGAGAGAACCGACCACATGAGACCAAGAGAGCAAGTTTGGCCTCAGTGGAGATGGACGACTTGGGTGGGGCTGAGGCAGACAGATGTGTGTGTAGACGGGAGAGGGAGATAAGTGAAGCCAGGTGCTGGGGTGGGCAGGGAGAGGCGGCAGGCCCGGGATGGCCATGCTGCTGCGAAGTGCGCTCACCCGCTCTCAGCCTGCCTCTGCCTGGAGACACCTGGTTACTCAGGGTGGTGGGGGGGTGCGAACTTATTTCTTTGAGGGGAGAGAGGCTCACCTGAAGCACTGCTGCTTGGCTGAGCGTGAGGTTGTCCCAAAGGATCCGGGGCTCCAGAGGTCCCTTCTGGGCCCTCTCTGGCCTCGCCTGCGTCTCCTCAGTGACACCTGCAGGGTTCCCAGGACACCCCAAAAGAGTACTGAGAGAATCAGCGCCAGGGCTGGAGGTGGCTGCTGCCCTCTGACCCACCTGGCTCCCAACCCATCAAGGCCCTTCTCTGCTTGAAGGGCTCCTACACTGCATTCTGGGACTTAAAGGAGAATACTAGAGGGTGGGGGCTTCTCTCCAGTTTTTTCCTTTCATCCCACCAACCCATCCACAAGTCCCCAGAGAAAGAAGTTCAGCATGCCCAGCCTGTTGTCCTTCCCTGTCCCCCTCAGCTAATCCCAGGTTCTCACAGGGACCCTCCCCCTGTTCCCACTCCCTCCCAACCCCCTCCTCCCCAGGAACGCCCCCTCTCAGGACTGGGCGAAGCCTTGTGGCCCAGTGCCCACTCACCCTCCCTTTCCTCACATCAGAGATGCCGGGAACGCCCATTTCTGGGTGAGCATTGCAAACACCCCCCTCCCTAAATACCCCTCATGCCCAGTTAGGCACACCCGCTCCCCAAGCCTCTGCTTCCTCCCGGAGTCCCCCCCCCACCAAATGGCCCTCTCTCCTCCGGACACTCCACCCCCGCCTGCCCTCTCGGCCCCCAGCCCAAGACAGCAGCGGGAAGTGAAAGTTCCAAGGAGGGGTTGGTGTCCCAGCTTCTTTCCTGGCCAACTCTCCCATTCCTGGCTCCTCCCGGGCCCCCTCCCGCTCGGTGAGCTTTCTGGTGGGATCAGCACCAGGGTGAGGGGTGCCGGCCTCTCAGGCCTGGGATGAGGGGCCAGGAAGTATCCTCTTCGCCAAACCCTAGGAGCCGTGCCTACTCGGCTCCCTGGCACCGGGTGGAACGATCAGCTAGGCCCCAGAGGAGCGAAGACGTCAGTCCCGGGGAGCAGAGCCCCACTACCGCGATCCTGAGGGGGTGCTGGGCCAGGCCCCGCGGTGCCCGGTCCCGGGGCCTGAAAGTGTCCGCGGGGACCCTGCAGAGGATGACCGGCCCAGAGGCGCCGGCATCCCTCCACCTTCCCTCCCCACTCCATCGCCCCGTCGCCGGGTCCTCGGCCCAGAACATCAGACGAGGGCAGGCTATGCCCTGAATGGGGTCTCTCGGGGTCTCCGGCCGACCCCAGGACCCCAGGGTCTCCCGACTTCCCCGTGCGTCCTCCCAGGGCGACCCCCGGCCCACTTCTGGCCAGGCACTCACCTATATCTGGGAGCGGTCGGGAGGGCAGTGGGCTGCCCGCGCCCAGGAGCCCCAGGGCCCAGAGCAGCGCCAGGCGCATGGCAGCGCCGCCCGGGGCCGGGCGAGGGCAGCAGGTGCTGGGCCGGGCGCCGAGGAGCCGCGGCTGCCGGGTCGGCTTCTCGCACCTCGCAGCCAGGCGCAGCCACAGGCCCCTCCCAGGCTCCTCCCACCCGGCCAGAGCCAGGCCCCGCCCCGAGGCCCCGCCCCTGGAAGGGCTCCACCCCCACAGTGCGCCGGGTTCCGAAGAAGTGTGGATCCAGCCCCTGACTCCGACTGCCGCACTGCTGGCCCTGCTCTGCACAGCCACTTCAGGCTGCTTGCAGGATGGGAGCCAAGGCCCGGTCCGACCGGCTTGGGAGTCGCTCCTCCACCCGGCCCTGGGTCAGGACGCCTTCGTAGCAGCTGCACTGCCCTCCGCTCTCACGACCGCAGCCGGGCCCTGCCGGATCAGGTGGGCTGGTTCTCCCGACTGCCTAGCTCACCCTCCGGTACCGGACGCCTGCGAAGCGCGGGCAGCAGGAGTGTATGAAGCATTTTATTAAACAGGAAGGAGCGGATGGGAGAGCGAGTAAGACGCCCCTTCATTCCGCGTAGGTAGCATCATCGTTGCTGTCGCTGTAGGCGGAGGAGGAGAGCTCCTCGCGGGGTGTGCAGGCCGGGCACCGCTGCCGCATGTCATTCCAGCACGAGCGGCAGTACACTGCCTCGCAGTTCGGTGTAGGGCACACGTAGGACTCGGGCGTCTCGGGTGCTTGGCACACCACGCATCGGCGGCGCAGCAAGGGGCGCAAGAGCGGGCAGCAGCGGTGCAGGATGTCAACCAGATGGCGGCGCTGTTGAGAAGCAAGGCGGGTTTAGAGCCGGTTGGGGAGCAGGCGAGAAAGATGGGGAGGTGGAGAACAGCGCTTCTTTTTGGAGAAGCGCTTCTTATCTGAAGTCTCAAGACCTGACTATGCCCATATGTTGGAGGAAGCTGGATTTTGCAAAGAAGAGCCCTGGAGGGCAAGGGTTCTATGGAAGTCGGTCCTGGAGAGCCTCCCTCACTTCGTGGTGCGGAGTGAGAGGATACAGCCGGTAACAGCCACAACCATCATCACATGTACTCTCCGGTAAATCGTAAATCGTCTTATTTGATCCTCACCGTGAGGCTGAGAAGTGAGTAGGGCAGATAAGACTATCACTACTGTGTTCTCCTACTTTACAGATGAGAAAACTGAATCTCATAAATGTTAAATGACTTTCTCAAAGGCACAGACTGAACAGTAAAACCTGTCTGGATCCAGGTACCCTGATTCCAAATTATAAGCCTGGCTCATTATGCTCCCTCTGTCTCCCACCCTCTCTCCACACGTTTTCCAGGAATTCTCAGGCCACCTTATCAGGTCACTCTTTGCTCAAGAAACTCCAGGGGCCCCACTGCCTGCCAAGCAAAGGCAGGACTCCTGGCCTTGGCCTTCTGGGCCTTCCACAGTCTGGTCCCTTTCTAGCCTCTGCTCCAACTTACCTCTCCCTGAACTTTACATGCTCTGTGCCGGTTCCTCCTTAGACTTCAAGCCCTGCACTTGGTTGGCATTTCCTTTGGACTCTGAGTCCTTGCACATTCTGCTTCCTCAACTGGGAATGAATGCCCTTTACATTTCCATCTGCCCATCAAAATCCAGTTAACTCCATGATCTGGTCATGGAATCACATGTTCATTTTGAGTGAGTTTCTTAGGACATCTGGATCAAGACGATGGACTAGAAGGACATGGAGCTCAGCTCCTCCCATAGTATCAGTATGTTCATCAGACATTCATCCAGCCTCTACTGCATGTCATGGGACTTGGGGGGAGGGGGGCCTAGGAGCTGGAGGAAAAATTTAAGCAAACATGGTCTCTCACTTTTATGAGCTTTTTTAGGGCTGATTAAATAAAAGTGGCTGCTCCTTGTGTTTTTAAATGATATTGGGCCCCGTACCAAGAAACTGGGGTGCTTCCTTGGTGGCTCAGACGGTAAAGCGTCTGTCTGCAATGCAGGAGATCCAGGTTTAATCCCTGGGTCAGGAAGATCCCCTGGAGAAGGAAATGGCAGCCCACTTCGGTACTCTTGCCTGGAAAATCCCATGGACGGAAAACTCTGGTAGGCTACAGTCCATGGGGTTGCAAAGAGTCGGACATGACTGAGCGATATCACTTTCACCAAGAAACTATAAGTAAATTAATTCAATCCAAACAATAACTATGTAAGGCAGATCTCTTTTCAGCTTAAAAAAACTGATGGCTTGGAGAGGTGATCATTTTCAGACAATGACAACTAACACACATATATATAACTTGCTATGCACCTGCACTGTGATTAAATGAGTGAAACTCACTTAATCCTTACTACAAATAGATGGAGTATTTAACTCCATTTTACAGAAGGGAAAAACCAAGACTCAGCATTTAAGTCAGTGCTCAAGATCACACAATTGTCGCAGTAATAAGGGGAGAGGCCAGGATTCAAACCTAGGCTCTCTAGGGATTTCCCTGGTGGTCCAGTGGCTAAGACTCTGAATGCAGGAGGCCTGGGTTCCATCTCTGGTCAGGGAACTAGATCCCACCTGCTGCAACTAAGACTTCACATACCGCAACTAAAGATGCTGCATGACACAACTAAGACCTGGCACTGCCAAATAAGTAAATAATATCTTTTTTAAAAAAAGACATCTTTATATTAAACAAAAAAAAATCTCTCTGGCACCAGAGCCTCACACCTGACCACCACTCTATTACTGATCTCTAGTGAGCAGGCCTCATAGAGTTATCCAACCTCCCCATTCTGCAGAGGGAAAAACTGAGGTCCAGTGAAGACCATGGCCAAGGTTACAAAGCTTAATGAGGGCGTGTGGACTGAAGCCTGGTTCTGCTGACTGTGTGCTCTTTCTGTACACCACATGCCTCTTCATGAGGCCTCCCTGATCCCCAGTCCACCTGAGTCCCCTCACCTATGCCACCTCCTCACACCCTCCACACCTCCCACCCCCCTCTGCTGGAACAGCACTGAGCTTCTAATCTGAAGTCCTCTCAGAAGAACCTGTGGCTTTGCCTTGGGCCCCTTGTTTCTGATGAACCTGTCTTGCTTTTCTTTGACCCAACTGTATCAAATCTGATTCCTCCTTTTTGCCTGCTTCTCTATGGTCCAGGTGTCCCTGGTGGCTCAGTTGGTAAAAGATTCACCTGCAATGCAGGAGACCCCGGTTCGATTCCTGGGTCAGGAAGATTCCCTGGAGAAGGGATAGGCTACCCACTCCAGTATTCTTGGGCTTCCCTGGTGGCCCAGATAGTAAAGAATCTGCCTGCAATTCAGGAGACCTGGGTTTGATCCCTGGCTTGGGAAGATCCCCTGGAGGAGGGCATGGCAACCCATCCCAGTGTTCTTGCCTGGAGAATCCCATGTATAGAGCAGCCTGGCAGACTACAGTCCATGGGGTTGCAAAGAGTCAGACATGGCTGAGTAACCACGCACAGCACAGCCCTATGGTCCACTTAGGACCTCAGGCTGGGCTGAATCCTGGGTACAGATATGGACACAGCCTTGACCTCCAGGCACTGGATGACCAAGGCCTTTGCATGCCCGCCATCAGAACTCACTGAGCGTCAGTAGACTCGGGACCTTGGTAGGGGCTGGAGGGACTAAGGGGAGATGCCCCCCCCACTCCAGTTCTTAGACCCAGAGGCGCAGGCCTGGACTCACTGGAGCCCTCTGCTGTCTTGCCCGCCTCAGGATGGTAGCCCTCCTCAGCTGGGTGAAGGCTGCTCTCTTCCTCAGGAGGTCATTGTAGAGGAACAGGACCCGCTTCTTTTCTCGCTGGGGCCAAGGAGACAGCACAGAGGAGGAAGACATCCCCCGAGGTGCGGCTGATGGGGAGCTGGGCGCAGGCCAGTGTGTGCGCACCCAGGGGTGGAGAGGTTGTGGGGGGCACACCTTGGGGAAGTAGAATGCTGTGATGACCCTCCGGAGCCGGTAGCCGAAAGCCTGGAGCAGGCAGAGACACACTAGGAGGCCACTTGGTAGCGCGGCTTTCAAATAGGCCCTGGTGCTCAGGGGCACGGGCTGGGGCAGGCAGGCTGGGGGAGGAGGCGGGCCTGTCAGGGGTGTGGCCCGGGCCCGCTGGCCGCGACTCTGCAGTGAATTCCCCACGTTCATGGGGTGTGGGTTAGGTCTCTGATTACCCTGTTGTCTTCCTGCCTGCCCCTCACCCTGCAGAGCTTTGTTGCAGTATGGTAGTCATTAGGCCCAGGAAGCTATTTGTTCAACATGGCACAGACGTAGAAATTTTCCATCACGGCAGAAAGTTCTATTGAAGGGCATTGCTCCAGAGGGCTGGGACTCTGGGGGACCCTCTGGACTCCTTTGACCCAAGCCTGTCATCCTCCAATCCTTCAAGCTTGACCTGATGTTTCCTACTCTGATTCTCCAATGCAAACACACCGACCCCCATTTCACCATAGCCAAGGCCCAGTCCCCTAACTCTTTGTTTTGGAAACACCCCGCCTGCCTCCTCTCCCCTGGCCCCCAGCCATCAATTCCTCTGATCCAAACTTTCAGCATCACTCACGCATGTTGTTTGAGTCCACCACCATCTCAGAGGAGGTGTTCAGGGCTCCGATGGTATTCCGAAGAAGCCTGGCAAGCATGGAGTCTCCCCCGACTTTCACTTCCAGTTTATGACTGCCTGATGCCAGGATAGGGGTCGTGGTGTGTGTGGGGAGTGGGGGAGTCAGGAGAGAGTTAGAGTTATGGAGATGGGGCAGGATGGGGACTGGATGGAGGGGAGAGGTCAAGGCATAGCAATACTTCTCAACTGCACAGGACTTTCCATCCCTTCACTGATTACTAATGCCTCCTTTTGACAGATACAAAGGGGAGTGGAAACTGAGGCTCCCAGTGACAGCTGTCAAGTTGCAGGGCTGATATTTGACCCTAAGGTGGGCAGGTAGGGGCTGAAAAGCAGAAGGAAATGACAAAACTGGAAGAACTGGGGACTTCCTTCGTGGTCCAGTGCTTAAGAATCTGCCTTCCAGTGCAGGGTTCCATCCCTGGTTGGGGACCCAAGCTCCCACATGCCGTGAGGGAACTAAGCCTGGGAGCCACAGCTGCTGAGCCCGTGCTCTGGAAGCCATGCGCCACAACTAGAGAGAAGCCCATGAGCCATAGCTAAGACCTAATGCAGCCAAATGAAAGAAATTTTTTAAAAATTGGAAGAATTGGGGTGGGGTGGCTGTGCAAGGGTGGGAGTTCTCCAGGGGGTTGTCTCCTTGGGCCTGGAGCCTGGAGCGGGGGCTGGGCTCACTGCGGAAGGAGTACTGCACGAAGGAGTGGTGGCGGATAGTGTCGAAGATGGAGTAGAGAGCCCAGTCCAGGCCACAGAGCACCAGCAGCAGCAGCAGCACGGGCAGTGTCTCCATGAGCTCCCTTAACTGGCCAGGGAGCAGGAGGGGCGGAGCTGGGCAGTGCCACTGAGCCCTCTCTGCCCTCCACCCCCAGACCCCTGCCTCTAGTAGGATCTGGGGTCCTGCCTCCATGCCATCCTCACCACATTTCTCATTTCTGCGGCCTGGATCGTGGGGTCCCAGGGGAAGATGACGGTTTTCTTCTCGGCTTTGCGGAGTGGCAGCAGCGTCTGCTTGCCCTGGGAGAAACGTCCCCACGTTTCTCAGGGTGGTGAGAAACGCTGAGCACCCTCTCCTCTTCCCCTCTGCCCTCCTGGAGCAGGATGCCACCCAGAGAACGGGACAGGGCACTCTTGGGCAAGGCTGCGCACACTCACTAGCTTCTTTCTGCGTTCATCGATCTGACAGAAGTAGGTGCTGATGTAGATGTTGTCGAAGCGGATGTCCCCGTTATAGCTGTCCATGTAGGAGAAGCACCTGTGGATGAGAGTGTCTCCATCGCCTCCAGGTTTACCAACCCCCAACCACGGGCTTCCCTGATGTGGTCGGTCAGTCAGCCGACCGCCCAGCACGCACCAAGCACCGTCTGTGTCCTGGGAGAAGAAAGCCCTGCCCTGCCCTCCAGCAGCCCTGCAGTCCCATGAAAAACATGCACATATACTGCTGAGACAGAACAGAGGGGAGGACGGGAGGGGGGGTTGTGTAAGTGCGTGTGTGTGCCTGGGAGGTAGGGGAAGGTCTCCCAGGCATGGAATTTTCAGGAAGAATATCAAGCAGAGGAAATATTAGGAGCAAAGGATGGAGACAAGGAAAATCCCCCAAGGATGCAGAAATGGCCGGATCCACCGACTCCCACGTTCACCTCTCAAGCCCCTGCCTCTTGGCTGAGCCCTCAAAACATCTCCTGGGAGCTCACTTGAAGCACATCTCATTTCAACCATCATTTCCCTTCTCCACTGATACACCCCTGAGTAAAGCGATATTTTCTGTGTGAGCGTGTGTGCACGCGCAGACGTAGCTTTTCTGTGTTATCTCTCAAAGTCCCACATAATGCTTCAGTTTCCTGAGGAAAAATGTTAATTGTTGGAAATGTGTTTAAAACTGTAAAAGTACATTAAATAAGCTCTGTAAACTGTGAAACATGATTTCCAATGCTATTGGTTCTGGGACCCTGTAAAAATCCACATCTTTGCCTTTCAAGAGAGAAATGTCTATAAATGCAAAGAAAGACTGTGAGCGCCCCCTTGTGGGGAGACCTACCACTGCTGGGTCTGGGCCTCCGGAGCCGGGTCTCCATCCCTCCCCGCCTCAGCCCCTTCAATGAGTGACCTCACCCAGGTTGAAAGCCTGGAAGTGGCTTTTGACTCTGTACCTCCTTCCTTCCCTCCGCAAGCTGGCTCTGCACCTTCCCCCACCCTCCCTCCATTTCAGGCCAACTTCCTGCCACGCCCCCCCACCTCCGTTCCAGCCTGGCTCCCTAACCTCTGACCCACCTTGGCCTCCCTGCCTCCAGGCTGCTCCAGTACAGCCTGCAACCTTGCCACTGGGGGGCGGTTCAGGGCCCTTCTGCAGAGATTTCCAGACTGTTCTGACTACGCCGGGTCCTCAACCACAGCTTCTGCCGTCCACATCCCACAAATGCTGGATTCCTGACCCAAGAGAAGACTTTTCCTCTTCTTGGCCGTGGCTCCCCATCTGCAGCCTTTTGAAGCTCAGTTATGGCCCTTTCAGGGGCACTTCCTCAGCTCCCATATCTGTCCATAGTACAGCCTTTGAATCATCTCTGTCTTGTGGACGCCTCTCCTACTTCCCGTCAACCACGAGCGTCTTGAGGGCAGAACTATGGCTCATTCATCTTTGTCCTCCTACAGGCCTCTGGACACACACATAAACACTCACTTGCCGTCTAGGCCCCGCAAACAGGGGCAGAAGGAGCAGGAGCCCCTGCGGCTTCCCTTGTCCAGCCCCTGCCCATCTCAGGCTCGTGGGGCTAGAGACAGGAAACAGAGGGTCCAGAGGTCGGCAGGGAAGCAGAGTGAGGCCCAGGGCAGCCCAGCTGGACGCCAGGCTGGGTGGGGTTGAGGACTTTGGTCCAAATGGAGGGAAAGTAGCTGCCAACACAGCAGGCGGGAGAAAATGAAAGCAGAATTGGACGATAAAAATGGCACAAAGTCAGAGCCAAGGGGAATATGAAGGGCAAGAAAAAAAAATCAAAAGTCAAAGCTAAAAGTTAAAAAAAAAAAGAAGTCAGCGTTGGGATAAAGGCCGGAAGGAGGTAGATAAATGAAGACGGTCGCCCTTTTAAGGTGGTGGGAACAGGGGGTAACGTTTCTTCTGACAAAATGTCCACATTTCCTTTAATTTTGTGTAAACAACGAACCCAGCTTTGTAAAGAGGCAAAGTCAAAGGCGAAGAGCGTTCAGACTCAGTCGGAGGGGGGCTCTGCAGCTCCATTCCTGGGGCCTCCCTCGGGGCACGGCCAGCAGGAGGCCGGGGCTCCGGGGCAGGGGCTGAGGACTCACGCGTGCAGGACCAGCAGGAAGGTGCAGGAGAGCAGCACGTGCAGCAGCCCCAGGGTCCACTCGAGCTGGGCCTCCTGGCGTCTGACGTAGTCCCGCACCTCGCTGCTCACGTGTCTCCAGCTCGTGTTGAGGCCCAGCACCCCAGCCCGCTTCTCCTCCTGGTGGGCGGCACAGGCGCTGCCTCAGAGGCCCAGACCCAGCTTCCCAGACTCTCTGTGGCTTCTCTTCCCCCCGGGATGCTTCACTCACGCTCTCCTCCTCCCAGGAACTTCAGGGCTGCCCCTGCCTCCTGTTCGCCACCCTCCTTGACACAGTCTTGCTCCTCTGCACCTCTGTGAGCTGACACCCTCTCACACCTGGCTGACCCTTCCCACAGGCTGGACACCCTCCCCCTCCCTGTCATCCAACGCCTCCACCACTCCCCACCCCGTCCCCTCCCTCACCAGCCACCTCTCCGGCGTCCTCGCCCGCTCTTCCTCGCATCCTGTTCCTGTGCCCTCCTCCTCCCACTCCCTATCCCCCCCACCTCTCACTGCCCATTTCTTACCTTGAGGTTAATAGTTGCTGAAAATTCCCCCTCCAGGCCATGAATAGACTGGTTGAGGGAGTCATAGGTCTGCCCAAAGTTGCCTTCCACTGGGATGCGACCACGGCACCAAACTTCCATCACTGGTGGGCAGTGGGGCCGGGTCAGGGGGCCTCCAGTCCTCCCTTCCCCGTGATCCTGTTCATCCTACTGCTTTTGTCTCTCTGCCCGTGACTTTCTTTCTTTCTTTTCATTTTTTGGTGCGACTTATGGAATCTTAGTTCCCAGGCCAGGGATTGAACCTTGGCTCTTGGCAGTGACAGCCTGGAGTCCTAACCGTTGGAGTCTTAACCACTGGACTAAACGGGAATTCCCTGCCCATGGCTTTCTACCACCTTGAGTTTTTCCCTTCTTCGCTCCCCTTGAATTCTTCCCCCATTTTTTTCACCTGTCTATGACCGTACCAAACACTAATTATGATAGCCAACACGTAACAGAGCAGTTCCTCTGTGTGCCGGCTCTGTCAGCTGCTTCACATGTATTGTCTCCTTAAATCCTCAAGACCCCTAATGGGATAAGTACTATCATGATGTCCATCTTTCAGATGAAGAGACAAAGCAGGAACTTACCTGAGTCACAAATCTAGTCAGCTGGAGGCGCTGGGCCCTAAGGATGCTATGTCCTCAGAGCCCAAAGCCTCCCCTCCTGACTGCCTTCCTGACTGACACCTTCCCAGGGTCCCCCAGGACTCAGATCCCTAGCCCTGGTGCTCCCCATCCTCCTGCCTCACCCTTGTGCTCACCCTTGGCAATGCTGCAGAAGAACTTGAACTTCATGGGCAGGCAGAGTAGGTGGTTGAGGAGGGGTACCCAGATGCGCTGCATACAAGCTCCATGCTTTTGGTCAAACCAGCGGCGGCAGCTGAACATGGCCTTGTTCACCACATCTGCAGGAAGGGCCAACGGGGGTCTGAGGTCCCCACACCCTGAGCCAACGCCTGGGCCCCTGCCTGCCCAGGGACCCCCGCTCACAGGAGCAGCGCAGCTTAGTCTTCAGCTCATACATCTTCTGTGTAGACAGGTGGTGTCTGAAGGCTGAGGCAAAGGGGGCCTCTCCACCTGGGGCTGTCTCTGAGCCCTCGGCATCCTTGGGTGAGAATCCGCTCTCACTGTTCACCTGGGCATCCAGTTCCTCAAAGGAGTTGGTGATGTTGTGAGTCTCGGCTTTCAGTGACTCTTTGCTGCTCTGGGGTTGGAGGGAGGAAAGGGGTCCGGCATGGCAACTTGGAGCTTCTGTGCCCAACAGCCTGTTCGTCCCCATCAGCCCAGCCTCGGGCTCTTTCCTCCAGCTATAAGGAGCCGAGGCCTGGAGACGGGCTCTCATCTCAGATTCTCCACTGTTTGTAGTCCTTGGGAGCCCTCTCCCCTCCCCAGGTGCCTCTGCTCTACTCGCCTCCCAGGCTCCCAGCTCCTCCCAAGGTCTCCTGTTCCAGATCCTTGCTAGTCAAGGAAGGTTCCCCAGGCCCTTGACTTTACCCCTCACCGCTACTCTCTCAGGACACTGTGTCATCTCCACTGTCCCAACTCTGAAGCCCCGAGGTCCTTGTCTTCCCAACGCTTCAACTTTCCAATTTTTCCAGACCCCAATCTTCAGTCTTCCAGTACCCTATTCCCTCATCCCCTGACTCTCAAAGTTTCCCAACTCCTCAAGGCCAGGGCCCCCAATTTCCTGACATTCTACCTCAGCTGCCCAGAACACTACCTACTTGGGTGTTTGGGAATGTGTGTGGGATGTGTCCCAGTGGTTGGGGGGTAGGAGCTCTTCTGCCATTTAATGCCCAGAGACCAGGGCACATCCTGCAATGTTTGGGAACAGTTCTGCCCCAAATGCCTGTACCACAAGCCCTGTTGTGTAACTATAAGTCCAGGGTCCCAGCTCTCAGCTCAGGTCATCTAGGCCCTGTGAGGAGAGGGGCCCCTAGACCCTGCCGTGTAGGGTCCTGACCAGCAAGTCCTTGAACACCGCCCGCAGGGGGGCTGTGGAGACACGCCAAGCTGTGCGGGTGTTGTTGATCTGCAGCTCCACCGTGCAGCCGAGCGATGCTATCACCTCGTTGAGGTTGTGCCGCAGGTTGGCCACTGGTCCTGGGGGAAGATGCCCTGGTAGATTACCTCTCTCTAGAGCCAATTAACTTTCTTCAGCCCATCCTGAGCTCCCACTCTGCGGGCGGTGACCACCTTCTAGAACCGTACATTGATGGGGCCCAGAAGCTGGTGAGAGGTTATCTCATTCAACCCCTGATTTTTTTTTTTTCTTTTTGTAAATGAAGGAGGCTCAGAGACTCAGAGGAACTCTCTCACGGGATACACAAGTCAGAACAGCTGGGATAAGACCCCCCCACTCTTTGCTCTTCAACAAGCCTGGCTCTCAATGGATAGCCCACCAAGAGTCATTGCTTCAGTGTCACTAACTGGCACCCAGAGGCACACACTCACCCTCATAGATGGCAGCCAAGGCATATCCCAGTACAAAGAGCCTGCCCTCTTTGCCCAGCATCTTGGGTATTAGCAGAAGGCTGGCACAGCGAATGTGAGGCGAGGTCCCCCAGCCTACGACCCCCAAGCCTGTCAGGAGAGCCCAGGAAGTGGCGGGGCAGAGTAAGGAAGCTGCCTCCCCCACCAAGTTTAGCAGAGCACCCACCTCCCACAACTCCTGTCTAGAACCATCACCATACTGCCCTTGTCCCAGTCACTCTAGCTCTGATAGGCCTTCAGGCCACTCATGCATTCATCTACCGAACAGCCGTTTATAGAGTTCGACTGTGTGCCAGCCTCCGGAAGGGCTTGGAGAGGAGGCCAGAGACTGAAAAGCCAGGGTCAGTGATTGACTTGGTGCGTATATGAGTGTGTGTATTTGTGTTAGGGGAGGGGGCCAACACTTTCCCTTTCCAGGCTGGACTCCCAGGTACCCTAGGTACTGAGGGGGCAGAGAGAGCAAGAGGTGAATTCTGGAAACAGGCGCTGGTGCTCAGAGCAGTCGGAAGAGAGGTCACAGCCACCTCGATATTCCCTGCGCTCTGACACCTACAGCTCTGTCCCTAATTTTAGCCTTTAGTCGTCTACCTCCTGGTGTGTTTCAGCAGTTTCACATGTGTCTCCCTGTGGTCTCTGCAGGGAGACAGTGAGCTCCTTGAAGCTCATAATCCAGGGAGAGAGACAGACGGGTAAACAAATGACTGCAACACCCGGTGCTAAGTGCGCGGGGAGGTGCTGTGGAGGGCTGTGGGAGCCCAGGAGGGAGCAGGCATTTCTGCGGGGAGGGTGGGGCTGGGAAGGCCGGACACAGGAGGCGATGTGACAGCTGGGCCTGGACGATGAGTAAGTGCTGCGAGGCATTCCAAGCCAAAGGAGTAGCTCAAACTGGTCAGGGAACCTAGAAGGTTCCTGTGTGGCTGGAGTGTTCTCCCAAAGTTGGCCAAGGCAGAGCCCTAGTCTGTACCCTCCTCTCTCTCTGCTCGGCCCTTATGGGGTCCCCAGTGTCTCTCATGGGAGCTGCCTCGTCCCTTACTTCCTCTCTTGCTAGCCTAGATTTCAATTTTCATGAGGCAGCCAGAGTGATCTTACAAAAACAAAAATCGGATCATGGTCCCTGCTCTGCTTGAAACCATGCAATGACGTCCCATCTCTGCTTCGGGTCAAATCTGGACTCCTCTAACACGATCACCAGGCTCTCCTGACCTGGCCCCTTCCCACCTTCTGAGGTGATCTCATCCTATTCAGCCCTTCGCCCACCACGTCCGCCCACACTGGCCTTGTTGCTGTTTCTGGAATTTGCCAAGCTCCCGCGTCCTCTCAGGTCTTTACCCTGGCTGTTCCCCCTGCCAGGAGCACTCCTCCCCCTAGCCTTCACCTGGCCGGCTCTACCTCGTCATACAGGTTTGCTGCAAACCCTGCCGGGTGCCACCCATGGTTTGTTCTCCCTTCTTCCTTGCTAACACAACTTGGGTTTTGTTCCAGGGCAATGGCCTGTCCCTACTCTGGCCCCTGGGGGTAAATCTGGATCCGTCTAACCCAAGCATGCTATAGTAGGACATCGAAAGGGGAGTGATTCTGTGGTCTTGGCCTTTTGGCCAAGACTCAAGCTGAGGATGATAGTTGACAAATAGTGACCCTACTTTCTGAGGGTGATTGTTGACCGAGGGCTGCTCTGCCTTCTAAAGAGAGCCTCATGGAGTTTGCTATCTGGGCATTCCCCAAAGAGCAAAACTGGTGTCTCACCCTTCTACCCCAACCAGCCTAGACAAAGACAGGGCCAGAAATCAGAATTATCTGGAAGTGGAGGGAAGTGGTTAGAGCAGGCAGACATAGGAGGAGAGGCTGTGGGGAGGATGGGTGTTCACTTCCTCATGGCAAGTGACAGACTCCGAGAGCACCCTTCTGAGGCTGGTGTTGCAAGAAGGGGAACCCGGCTTACCCCTCCCAACTGGACACCCGCTGAGCTGCAGAGCCTGGCAGGGCCACCCCGGGGCTGCCCCAGAGCACAGAGGCAGGAGCGTTCAGAGGTCAGCAGGGCCTCCCAGGAGTATGGGGGAAATGTGCACATGGAGAGTGGTGCTTCTCATCATGACGGGGAGGGGGCGACTTCAAGGGGTCCTGTGTTCCCCGTTTGGGAGGGCAAGGACGTTTCCTTTGGGACATATAGAGGGCATGTTAAGTCTCCTCCATCATCCAGACTCTCTGAGACCCCATGGACTCTAGCCCGCCAGGCTCCTCTGTCCATGGTATTCTGCAGGCGTGAATACTGGAGTATTCACTGGAGTGGGTTGCCATGCCCTCCTTCAGGGGATCTTCCCAACCCAAGGATCGAAACTGCATCTCTTATGTCTCCTGCATTGGCAGGCAGGTTCTTTACCACTAGCGCCACCTGGGAAATAGAGAGGGCAGCAGGCCTCAAAGCCATCTGTGGGGTCCCATCTCAGAGGGCTGCCTGTTCAGGGGGAGGCATCCAAAAATAAGAGTCTGCAGGTGGCCTGTAGGAACTAAAGGGAGCTTCGTTCAAGGTCAGTCAAATAGAACTGCCCTCCGCAGGAAACTGGGCCCAGCACGGTCCACACAGAGTCTCCAGCCAGACCATGAACAGGGCCCCCTGAGACGGCCAGGGTGTGAGGGAGTGCCGCACAGAGGCGGGGGAATTCTAACAGTATCGATGACTTCAGACTTTTGTCCCTTTTCCTCTAATTCTTCTAATCCCCTTTCTGACATCAGAAGAGCCAGAAAGGGAAGGAAGTGGAGAAAAAAAGTGAGTGAGCAGGCTGTGCTTCTTGTCTGCCACAGGACCCCACTCCATGATCAGGCCCGCGCTTCGGGGCAAGGGCGTGGTCAGAAGGGAAGATGTTTGAGAATGATGTGAGATTGAAATCTTGACGTAGACAGGACTGGACCTTTTAAGCCCCGAAAATGGTCATAATTACTGAAGCAAGACTAGATCTTCTAGATGAAAATCACCAGAAAGCTAAGGGTCTGTGTGAGAGGTCATCAGTGGGGAGAAATGTTGGAAAACAGTGGTCAGAGAGAAAGTAGTTTCCTGTTGGAGCCCCATAGAAGGAGTTGATTCAGTGAGCTTGGGATGATGCCACGTCCGTGCCCCGTGCTTGGGAGAGGGTTAGAAAGGACACATGGTGCAGTTCTGACCAAAGAGGTGTGGGGGAAGTCGGCTGGGGGGTTACAGGAAGTTCTCTGTTCTTATAGGAGACACGAGGAAGGAATGCTCTGATCTTTTGATATTGTCATATGGGGACATGGTGTCTGGATTTGCTGCAGCCATTTGGTGACCTGAAGAGGAATGATCTACAGGCCAAAAATGGCAGAGAAAAAAGTCAAAAGGAAGCTTGGTCCTTGGTGGGTTTACTGAGCTGCCAAATTATCCAAATTCCAAAACTACTCTACCTTAAAACTTGTTAAATGAGATAATAAATTTCCTCTATGGTCAAACCACTTTTAGGTGGGTTTTCTGTTCCTGTGTCTCAACTCCTCTTGATACAAGGTCTCCCTTCACACGTCACCTTCTCTAAGAAGCCTTCCCTGACTACTCCCCAGCTAATTCCGAATCCCTTTCTATCACATTCCCCTGGTTTACGTTTTTCATACCACTTATAACCATCCAAAATGCTCTTGTCTATTTTTTCATTTATTGTCTAACTCTTTCCACTAGAATGTAAACTTGAAAGAGAATATAAAAAAAGAAAGAAAGAAAGAGAATGTAAACTGAAAAAACTGGGTGTGTGTGGGGGAATAGTTAAAAGGAATTAAGAGGTACAAGCCTCCAGTTATATAATAAATAAGTCAGAGATATATAACAAGGAATTTGGTCAATAGGAAATATGGCCAATATTTTACAATAACTTTAAATGGAGTACAATCTATAAGGATGCTGAATCAAAATGTTGTACACCTGAAACTAATATAACATTTCAAATTAACTATACTTCAATTAAAAAGAATATGTTCAATAATATCGTAAAAATTTTGTACAGGGAAAGATGGTTCTTAGACTTATTGTGGTGATCATTTTATAATGTATGCAAGCATCAAATCACTATATCGTACACCTGAAATTAACATAATATTGTACATCAACTATATGTCAATTAAAAAAAGAAATCATTATAAATTTATAGCAGTTACTGCACATACATATATATACACACAGGTATGCACTATATACCATAATGTATATATGTGTATGTAATGTGTGTTATATATATTATAAACTCTAGGGGTCTAAAATTTAAAAAATGAGTTAAGTGCTTGTCAACCTTGTTCACTGATGAATGAATCCTCAGAAGGTGCTCAGTTAGTGCTAAATGAATGAGTGAATGAATGAATTGAATTTATCAGAAGCAGCAGGAAACAAGATCAGAGAGGTCAGGAGAGATGGGGATTATGAATGGTTTTGGGGTTTATCATGGGGGTTAATCTTTGGAGGAGGGAATGGCAACCCACTCCAGTATTCTTGCCTGGAGAATCCCACGGACCCAAAAGCCTGGCGGGCTACAGTCTGTGGGGTTGTGAAGAGTCGGACATGACTGATCACACACATAGGGGTTAATAGGGAGGCCCTCAGACTGGGGAGACTCTTGTGGGCAAAGACTGTGTCTTCTGCAGACTGGGGCCTCTTCCCTCTGATCTCCCTTCAAAATCCAAGACAAGGCTGAAATTACAAGGCACACTTGGGAACAGAAGAAACAAGAGGAGATTCCTTCCTGGGCACCCAGGGCTGTGCTGCATCCCTGCGCTTAGCCCAGCACTAACCCACCAAGCTGTACAACGTCACCATCTTCTGATCTTCATAGATGTTCATAGGGTTCACCAGAAGCTGAAAGAGACCTAAAGATACAGGGTTCAGCCAAAGGTCAAAAGGTGCACCCCACCTCTGACCTCTGCTCCGTACTCACCTATGGCCAGGAGCCCTCCGGTGCCTGCCCCCAGCAGGAAAGCACTGACGGGAAACTCACCCGGCTGGCGCCATAGGAATTGGTTACAGGATCTGGGCAGCCCCCAGTTCAGGAACCCCTGCACCGCTGAGGGGTCAAACGGTTTAGCCCAGCAGGGCCAACATACCACTCTTCTGGCTGGGACATGGTTCATTAGGATTAGGGGTGGCAGAGGGGTGGAGGCTGGGGGAATCTGGATGAGGGTGGCTGGAACTCGGGGGACCCTGGGGAAGTGGGGCAGACACGAGAGAGAGAAGAAGAAAGGGCTAGGCCAGAGGAGGGTGGCACTGGATGAGCAGGGTGGAGGCTGGGGGCCCCCAAAGTGGGGGAAGGGGTGGGAGAGGAGTGGGGGCCAGGAGTTGCTGGAAGTCACTGGGAAGGGCCGGGGTCTCTGGTGACTGACTCACTGGTGTGGGGTAGCTTCCTTTGCCCTTTTGCTCCATTTTGATGAGGTCTGATGGCCATGAGTCTGCTATGGGGAGCTCTCTCTCATTCCAGAAAGCTCCTCGAGGATGTCTTTGGATCAGAGGTTTGGCTTCTGTCTCCTCTGCCTCACCCACAGCCTGTCTGAGGGCTGTGTCTTTTAAGCCCTCAGCTATAAAATGATAGAGACCTACGTATCCCTTTGCAACTAGATAAAGAATTCCAAGACACACACGGTAAAAGCCCCTCGGAACCTTAGAATATGGTGAGAAATTCTAGGGCCTTTAAAGAGCCACAGAACCTGGTGGGCCTCGCCTGGAGACAGGCAAACATTTGGTTGCCTCAGCCATGTCCAAGGCCACGAAGGATGCGTTGCACCCCTTGGAGGCAGAGGGGCCCAGCAGGGCTCGGGCTGTGGTCCGCAGCACGGGGGGCTTTATCCTGGGCTTGTCCCTGGCCACAGCCTATGGGCTCCTGGAGCTGCTGGTGGAAGGGCACAGCCCCTGGGGCTGCCTGGTGGGCACCCTCACTTTGGCCGCTTTCCTTAGTCTAGGCATGGGATTCTCCCGCCAGGTCCGGGTCACTGTCCTCCTGCTGCTGCCCCAGGCCTTCTCCAGTGAGTTTGGCGCCCAGTGCAGGGGGTGGGCCTGGTGGAGGGGCTGGGGCAGGAGGGATCCTGCGGAAGAGGGTGGTCGAAGGAGGCCCTGCTGGCTTCCGTATGGCACTTGTATATGCTGCCATGGGCAAGGCTGCCGGCTTGGTTCCCATGGTGCTCTCTCCCCAGAGCAGGGCCGGACACTGCTGTTGGTGGCTGCCTTTGGGTTGGTGTTACAAGGGCCTTGTGCCAACACCCTGCGCAACTTCACCCAGGCCAGCGAGGCTGTGGCCTGTGGGGCAGAACTGGCCCTGAACCAGACCGCCAAAGTGCTGGAGAGGGCCAAGCAGCCGCTCGTCAGTAAGGCCGCCAACCTCCACGGGCCCCCGAGCTCCCCTCAGCCTGCGCCTTCACAGTCCTCTCGCTCCATTCCTCTCTGTTGGTCCTGGGCTTTAACCTCAAAGCATCCAGCAGGACCCCCTGACCCTCACTCTCTGGCCCGCTCCACTGCCAGATGGACTATCTCCCAGACCCCAGCATCCGGGCAGCTCCCCCGCTCCACCCCCTACTCCAGGGCAATGGTTAGAGCCAGCCGCTAGAGGAGGAGACCCGACCGGACCCCTGCCCTTGCCTCTCAGGTGCTCTGAACAAGATTAAAGCCATTGCCCAGAGAGCCAAGCAGGTGGCTGACCGTGTCCGAAAGTTCTTCCGGTCAATCATGGATGGCGTGAAGCACGTAGGTCAGCACGGTAGCATGTCTGTTTTGGGGGGCCAGGATTTACCCAGTCTCCTCACCCTCACCCCCATCCAGGACTTCTTGGGCCCTGCCAGAGTGCTGACTAGACCCCACTGGATAAAGAACAGCCTGGCCCCTGACCACGGGCCTTTCCGGCTCTGGGTGCTGCCCGGGTGTTTCCCCCAAGCCCCCTGAGAAGATGCTGCAGGACTCCTGGGTACCAGCCCCGCAGCCATTTCCAGCCAGGGCCCTGCGGAACGTGTGGTATTGGCTCCTGCACATCGGCGACGTGTGTAACTCGGAGCTGGGCAACCCCTACTTGAAGTGTGCTCGGGTCTTTGATGACGCCAAGGACAGCTGCATGAAGGTCATACCACAAGCCTACCACCTGTGCTTCGTGCTCATGCCCTTCAAGCTGATGCTCTGTGGACTTGCCAGTGGTGAGAGAATATGGACTTACTGGCAGGAAGGGGGGCCCGGCAAATGTAGGGATCAGTTGGGTGAATGACCAATAGTGTAATAGTAGTGTGTGTGAGTTTAGTTGTGTCTGACTCTGCGACCCCATGGACTGTAGCCCTCCAGGCTCCTCTGTCCATGGGATTTCCCAGGCAGGAACACTGGGGTGGGTTGCCATTTCCTTCTCCAGGGATCAAATCCATGTCTCCTGCCTTGCAGGTGAATTCTTTACCACTGGGCCACGTGGGAAGCCCCCTTCCAGGGGACTAATGGGGGGCAATAAATATGGGACCAACAAGGATGCTGGGCACCATGCAGGATTAGAGGGGGCAGGTAGGGGGAAAACCAATGTGGAGGGTGGGGTAGTAAGAAGAAGCCAAAAGGTTTTGAGCTGATGTGGAGGCCAGCAGGAACAGTGAAAAGCCGGGGGGCCCTGTGAGAGCAAGGTCTCTGGAGATTGGAGAGACAGGCTGCGTCCCTCTGCCCCTCCTGACATTCAGTCTTGGCTCTCAGTGGTCCAGGTGTTCTGCATCATCCCTGGGTATATCCAGACCTTCGTGCGAGAGACCATCAGCACCCGTAAGTGATCCCTGCCTAGCCCTACTCATGCGGTGCCCCTCGGAGGCCTCCCTCCCTCATCCCGGCATGTGCCAGCCCAGGAGTGCTCCCCATCCGCTGATGAGAATTCAGGAAAAGACCTCCAGAGGTTACCCAGGCCAATGTCCATGCCGTACAGATTAGAAAATTGGGGCCCAGTGAAGACAGGGTGCTTCATCAAAGCCTGACTTGAGAGCAGGAGCTGGGGAGAGAAGTGGGGCCCCCTGCAGCTGAGGCAGGTCGCTGTGATGTTCCTTATGAAGGCAGAAGCCTGGTGCTAAGTGTGCATCGGCCATGGCATAGACTGTGGAGGCTCTGTCCCCCCCTCAGTCCACTGTAGGTCCCAACACTGGGGGTTTAGCTGACCTGGGAGCCATGGGACCCCTGGGCTGGCCAGGCCCCTCCAGGGTACAGCCCTGCCCCCTTGTAACTCTCCTTGCTCGCAATCTCCCCTGGACACGGGGCCTCAGCTGTGAGGAATTTGATTAACCGAGTGCGTCAAGAGTTTGAGTTCAACATGACAGCCACCCATTACTTCTCTGTGGATCTCAACGCCTCTCGGAGCCTGTCCCAGGTAGCTCTGGACCTCTCTGAAGCCGTCAGCATGAAGCTGTACCGCGTCCGAGAGGCCTTGGCTCTGATGGGCTACACCACACCTCTGCTGTTCCTGCTTCTTTACCTCCAGTGAGAGGCTGGAGGGTCCCTCCCATGTAGGGGTGGGAGCTAGGGCTGTTGGGGGCCAGCTTGTCCCCATGGCATCCTGGGAGGCTGGAGCTCGTGGGCAGGGGTGAGAGTGGGGAGTGTGGTACCCTGGGATGTCTGGTTGGGGCTGCTGAAGAGCCTCACGTGTGTCCCACCAGAGCCCTGTATTACCGATACGGTTACCTGAACTGGGACAATTTCGACAACATCTACATCACCAGCCGATTCCTGCGCATGGAGGCTGTCCGCTCCAGGGCGGGATTGCCCACGGTGCTGCCGCTCACTGCCCATGAGGCCAGACACTACATCCAGCCAGGCAAGGCCCCGAAGACCCGGAGATAGGCTCCCTCCAACCCTACTGCTCTGCCCAGAAGTGCTGAGCACAGGCCTGGCTCAGGGCAGGGCCGGAGATGGGGGACAACAGAGAAGAAGGAAATTTCAGGCTCAGGAGGTGGGGGAGACACAACCCTGTCCTTGGGAAGTTTCAGCCTAAAAGGGGGGAGGGGTCTCAGAGCATGCAGACAAAGAGAAGAGGGGCAGGTGATGCTTCTGGAAGCACCCTGGATGTCAAGACAGAGGGAAGAATGTGTGGGGAGTGGATGTGGAGCAAGGGAAGTGAAGCTGGGGAGGCTTTTGGAGGTGGTGAGCAAGAACGTGCATGCACGCTGATATGGAGGTGATGCAGCCAGTGGGGAGGTGGGGAGCAGTGCTGTCTCTGAAGTAGGGGGTGGGGAACCACATAAGGGTACCAGGGATGCCTTAGAAGGGAGGATTCCTGGAGACTGAAAACAGACCACCAGGTCAAGGTGAAAATACTAGGTGTGTATCTTGAGCCATGGAGGCCCTGCCCAGGAAGAGTGCTTCTTTCCCACTCTTGCGCAGGGGTCCTCACAGCTTCCGCATCTTCCAGATGAGCAGACGGGACCAGTCTGATGAGGGGCAGGAGCTGCCTCCAGGAGGGAGGTCTCTGTAGGAGCTGGGGTCTGGTGGGTAGGAGAACTGCAGAGCGTCCTCCTGACCAGGCTTCCCCCATGCAGGCTCCATCTTATTGTCCCGGTGGGAGCAGATTTTTTGCATCCTGGCGATCTTCCACCTTGTCCGGCACCTCCTGCTCGTGTTGTTCCTGGTCTTCCTGGACTATGCCGTCTTCTGGGTCCTGGACCTGGCTCGGTACCACCTGCAGGGGGAGATTGTGGCCCGAAGTGAGTGCCCAAACTTCCCTAGCTTCCTCAATCCTGGGGGATTGCCTGAATGTCCCCCTGTCACTGCTACTTACCAGCCCCTGACATTGCCCCTCCTCCAACCCCATCCTCTGCCTGGTAACCCCTGTGCCCAGTTCAAGATTACACCATAACACAGTAGAGGAAAACACAAGCTCTAAAGTCAGCCTGGCCTGGGGTCAAATCTCAGTAGTGTCCTTTACCAGATGGTGACCTTGAGCAGTTTGCTCAACCTCCCAGACCTTCAGTTGCCTCATCTGAACCATGAGACAGTAATGGTAGCAACGTGTCTGGGTGGCTCTGCACAGATGAGACCACATGTGTGAGTGCCTGGTGGACCTTGGATTGACAGCGTGCCACAAACCACAGAACAGAATTAATCTAATCCTTTATGCCAGAGGCCCAACAGAAAAAGTAAAACAAAAACAAAAAAACCCAAACTCGAAACAATCGATAAAGCCCTTAGTTCAATACCTGCTTGGAGAAGGGCATGGCAACCCACTCCAGTGTTCTTGCCTAGAGAATTCCATGGACAGAGGAGCCTGGAGAACTACACTCTGTGGGGTCACAAAGTCGGACATGACTGAAGTGACTGAGCATGCATCAATACCTGCTACACAGTCAGTGCTTCACAAATGCTTTATTTTTGAAAATTTTTTAAAAATTTGATTGAAATACAGTTGACTTACAATGTTTTAACTTCTGCTGTATGGCAAAGAGATTCAGTTATATATATAAATATACATATATATATATATATTCCTTTTCATATTCTTTTCTATTATGATTTATCACAGGATATTGACTATAGTTCCCTGTGCCACATAGTAGGACCTTGTTTATCCATCCTATATATAGTAGCTTGCATCTGCTAATCCCACACTCCCAAACCTCCCCTCCCCCAACAAATGCTTTAAAATAAATGTTTCTGGGTGGTCATAGAGTCTGGGCATGAACTCACAGGCTATCAAGTTCATTTCAGATCTGATGGCCTGAGAAGGCAGACCAGGTAGGTACCAGTGCCAGCCAGCTCTGGACCATGGAGACAGGCCTAGTTTCTAGGAGCTGATGTTGGGGCCTGGAGCACCATGAGGGTGCCTGGGGCCTCCAGGGGGGCCATCTCTATGCTTCGTACCACCCACTTGCACCCTCCAGAAGGTGTGGTCTTTTGTGTGTGGTGGAGTGGGCAGCTTCCAAGAACATCCCTCACATAGTGTCTTGGTACCCAGGCCCTGTGTTTATATCCATAACCGTGGAAGGCACTGGCTCCACGGGGAAGATTTACCGAGACCTAGTGTCGGCATTCGATGTCCTCCAGCAAAGCAACATCACCGTCCTGTCCCGACGCTGCCGTCTGCATCCCTCAGAGCCTGACTCCACCGGTTACATAGTCATCGGTATCCACACCTCCAAGGGCGCTGGGGGGACAGACACAATTAAGGGCACGAGGGGCACAGTCCGCTGAGGGTGAGTGTGGCTGGCACCTGGTGCCCCCCAGCAGCAGCTTACTGGGTCTGCTGTGCCCCCAGGCGTCATGTATGGCCTTTGCTTCTTTGTCACTTTGTTCGGCAACTATGTCAGTCGGCTGCGGCGGCTCATCTGTGCCTCCTACTACCCACCTCGGGAGCAGGTGAGGGGGCCGAGGCCAGTTCCTGCTCCCCCCAGGGGGCTAAGCTCCTGGCTGGCTGTCTTGGTATGGGGGAGTTCAAAAGCCTTCTGCAGCCCAGCTCTCTCCCTCTGGTTGAACCCCAAAGCAAATGACCTGGACCGCAGAAGGGAGAGATGGTACCTCTAGAGATAAATCTTGCTTCTGAAGTTTTGTTAAAATCCTGGGGAAGGGGACTTCCCTGGTGGTCCAGTGGCTCAGAGTCCACGCTCCCAATTCAGGAGGCCCAGGTTTGATTCTGTTCAGGGAACTAGACCCCACATGCCAAAACTAAGGATCTGGTGCAGCCAAATAAACAAATAATTTAAAAACAAAACAAACAAACAAACCAACCCTGGGGGGCAGGAGCCATGCTGGTGTTGAGGTAGGAATGAGAACCTGCCATTTGTTTACTTACTCATGACTCATTGAGCACCTACTGAATGCAAGTCACCATGCTGGTGGCTCAAGGATGCAGAGATGAACCAGACACAGTCTCGAGGCAGGTTGGACAGGGTTTTAACAAGACCGTTACAATGAAAAAAGTGTTTTTAGGAAATTCCCTGGCCATCCAGTGATTAAGACTCTGAGGTCCCTCTGCAGGGGGTGAGAGGGTGAGGGTGCGATCCCTGGTTGGAGAATTAAGACCCCACAAACCGTGGAGCACAGCCAAAGAAAAGAGAAAGAAAAAAGTGTTTTTGTTAAGGAATAAATAAAGTGCTATGGAAACCCGGAGGAGGGGATGGGTGAGTCCACCTAGGGAAGCCCTGAAGTCTATTGAGCCAAGCCTACAAGGAGTCATAGGAAATGGACAGAAGGTAAAGGTAAGGGGTAGGGGTGAATGCAAAGGGCATTCCAGGCAGACAGGATCAAGGGGACCCCATCCTTGACTTCCCTTCCACCAGGAGAGGATCTCCTACCTCTACAATGCACTTCTGAGCCGCCGAACCAAGCTGCTGGCTGCCCTGCATCGATCAGTGAGGAGACGGGCAGCTGACCATGGCCATATGAGCATCCTCCATGTGCTGGCCGGACGGTAAGCCCACTGTCTTTCCCTATGGGAAGTGGAGTGAGAGGGAGTAGAAAAAGAGCCAGAGGTCAGAATGGATCACTATCCTTCCTAGGTGTCCAGAGATTTGGTTGAAGACGGTGCTCATTCATGAATGCATTGGGGATGAGACTTTGTAGGGGTGGGGAGTCAGAGGAGGAGGAGGACAGGAAGAAGGGAGGTTCTTGCTATGGGTCGGAGGGATGGAGGTTAGACTGTAGGGAGACCCACCTTTGATTTGGAGGGTGATACTGGAGAGGATGAGGGTTAGTTAGGCCAGCTGGACTGGCCTGCTTTTTAAAAAAATTAATTAATTAAAAAATTGTAATATAGTTGATTTACAATAATGTGTTAATTTCTTCTGTACTATATAGCAAAGTGATTCAGCCATCCACACATATACACTCTTTTAAAAAAAAATATTCCTTTTTTTGTTATGGTTTATCACAGAATGTAGAATATGGTTCCCTGTGTTATACAGTAGGACTTTGTTATTTACCATTCTATATATACTAGTTTGCATCTGCTAACCCAAAACTCCCACTCCATCGCTCCCTTCCCCCTCCCCCTTGGAAACCACAAGTCTGTTATCCATGTCTGTCTGTGAGTCTGTTTCATAAAAGTTCATCTGTTACATATGTTAGATTCCACAAATAAGTGTTATCATACAGTATTTATCTTTCTTTCTGTTTCTGACTTCATTTGGTATGAGAATCTCCAGGTCCATCCATGTCGCTGCAAATGGCATTGCTTCACTCTTTTCCTGGCTGAGTCGTATTCCACAGTATAAATGTGCCACATCTTCTTTATCCATTCATCTGTCCATGGACATTTAGGCTGTTTCCACGTCTTGGCTATTGTGAATAGTGCTGCTGTGAGCAGAGGGGTGTACGCATCTTTTTTAATTATATTTTTGTCCAGATATATTGAGCCGACCTACTTAGTGTCTGGGACCCCTCTCCTCAGGTGTTCCTGCCTGGTTCCATTTATCAGCCACTTCAGCCAGCGTCAGACCTACTGCCTGGGCTGTGGGCAGCCCCAGGACGAGAGGGACACAGAGAATTTGGTGGCCTGCAGTACCCCAGGCTGCGGAGGTGAGAGTTCCGGGGAGGATGCCTCTCTGCTGGGGCTCTCAGCATTTGTATTTGACAATCAGCTTTTATGGACTTCTGTGCCTCACCTTTTGTACCCCTTCCTTCGTTATGATGCATGTCCTCATTTACACGGAACCCTCAGGTAGCTCCTTTTCTCTGTGTGTCTTAATCCTCCAGTGCAAGTAGAATTCCTATGCAAGTGGTATTGCAGCAGTTCCCAGAGTGCATGGTGTGACGAATGGTCTCCCCCTTGGGTGGAGTTGGGGAGGCAAGGGCTGAAAGCTCGGGAGCACAGTGCCGGGGTGGGGGTGGGGGAGCAAGTTCAATTTCTCCCCTCCTGGCCTCCTCCAGGTCTCTTCTGTCTCTCCTGCTTCCGTCTCCTGGACAACACCTGCTCCGTGTGTGCATCTCCCCTCTCCTACCAGGAGGGGCTGGACCTAGAGCTGTGAGTCTCAGGCGACATGGGCTGGCTAGAGACTGTGGGGGCAGTGGGAGCGGCCACCCCTCCTGCAGGACTTCTGTGGGCCACTGAGATGGGAGGCTTCTCAAAAGGGACTCCAGTGACGAGGAGGGCCCCCGCCTATGGCTGGCTGCCGCCCACCGAAAGGGTCCTGAGCAGGAGGTGCTCCTGCGGCAGCAGCTGGAAGCGCTGGGCAGGACCCTCTCATCGGATTCCACGTCGGAATCCAGGTGAGCAGCACACTTCAGGAGTGGGGGCTGAGAGGCCTAAGCATGTTCAGTCACATTTATCAAGGGTTTCTTGGGTGCCTGGCCCTCTGCTAGAGCTGGAGAGATAAAAGAGGTGGGGGGAGGGAGGTTTGCCCCGTGCCTGCTGGGTCAGCACCCCTGTCCCGGGGTGAGTGGGGGAGAGTGGCATCAAGTAGATAAGTGACAATGTAGAGAGCGCCCCAAGTGAGGAGTGAAGCAGGCTCTGGGAAGCACAGAGGACAGAACACCCAGTTTGGGATGGAGGGATATTAATGAAGGCTTCACGAAAGAAGTCAAAAAAGTAGGTGGGTTTGATTTTCACTCAGAGAGCCAAGTATATCAAATGCTGTGAGATTATCCAGTAGGATGAAGCCTGGAAGCCAGAGGGTTTGTTAGGCTGAGGCGTGCAAGAGAACATTCCAGGGGGAGGCTTGTGTGAGTCTGGAGAATAGGGGACACTTAGAGGTGGGGGAGGGTCAGGGAGGGGTGTATTTGTGGCTGGGTGGAGACAACAGAGCATACTGGGAGATGAGGTTGGCCATCAAGGCGGGGAGAGGCGGGAGAGGGCCTCAGTTTACCACCTGAAGATCCTCAGTCAGAAAGTGATGTATTCGTATTTGTCTTTTGGGGCAACAAGCTAAGAAGGCAGAGTGGAGGCAGGGTGGGAGCAGGGAGACCAGAGAGGAGGCTGTCTTAGCTCAGGGAAAGTTGGTGATGGCCTCAGGATTGAGGTGCTGAGAATGACAGGGAGCTTGTGTTCGGAACTGGGTGGTGTTAGGGCAAGAGGAGAAACAGGTTCTGCAGAAAGAATGGCCCAGTTCTAGACCTTTCAGGTATCTGTAGGGAATCCACTGGGAATGCCCAGGGGACAGTTAGAAAAGGGCAGGGCTCTGGGCCAGAGGTATCTTTTGGGGGGTTGTTGACTTGGACACTGAGAGAGATGAGCTGGATCACCCTGGTGGAGGGCAGGGCAACAGAGGAGGGGGCAGGGACAGGACCCTGAGGCGCCCCTTCACAAACCAAGGAGGGGAGAGACTCAGCAACAGAGAGCCGGGTCCAATGCTGTGAGATGAGCGAGTAGGATGAGGCCTAAAGACCGGCCATTGAATTCAGTGGTCAAGAGATTCCTGGAGTGGCTTCTGGGAATATTTCTCATGGTGTGGGGAAGGCCAAAACCAGTCGTCGTGGGTTGAGGGGGGTGACTGGTAGAGAGGACTCAGAAACAGGGTACATGGCTCTGTGTCACTGTTGCAAGAAGTTTGGGAATTCTTTTTTTTTTTTTAATATAACTGCTGTAGTTTAAAAAAGGAAGCTTGATGGTAAAGAGGAGAGAGTTAGCTTCATAGAACAAGAAAGTAGCTTGAAGGGAACCTAAAAGATTTTTCTTTATCCAATAAAAAGCTTTTTCTTTACCCAAGTATGGGGAGATTTGAGGATTTCAGAGACGAAAAAAGTGTTGAAGAGTGAGAGATGCCGGAGAGATGGGATCTAGGGCCAGGTGAACAGGGTGGCCTCAAATAGGACCGGGCTCGCCCGAGGCAGGAGGGGAGAGGGCATGTTCCTCCCAGCAGAGCTGAGCCTGCTCCAGTCTGGTGGCCTTGCTTTTCTCAGGGTGAGGGTTTTGCAGGGAGCGTTAAAGGCTGAGATGAAGTTGAAAATCATCACGTGTAATGACAGACTCCAGAGTGCTTGGATACGTGGTTTTCTCAAGCAAATGTGGTAGCCATGAATGGGTTTCCAAGGTTGAAGGCTTTTTCTGGGCCGGTCAGGAGATGATGGGGTGAGAATTGGGGTGCTTTAGTCAGAGTATCTAAGATGACTGGGGAAGAAAAAGGGGTTGAGACCCCAGAGGGCAGTCCAAGGTCTATGTGTTGCTGGGGTGTTAAAGCCAAGGCCAGGAGGGATGCAGACAATGGGCCAGGCCCAGGAAGAATCCGGGGGATAAATCCAGAGAGTGGCCAAGATTGAGGGTGATGTCCGAGTAGGAGCGGAGAGGAAGGTCATTATGGCCAAGGAGGTTGAGGATTGGGAGGCCAGTGTGTTGGAAGAGTCTGCCCACCAGCGAGAAGGCAGCTGGGCCACAAGAGCGGCTCAAGTCTGGTACCAGCACCCTGGATGGGTATGGCAGGATGTCGGCAGGGCCTGGGGAGATAGGCACAGCCTGGGAGTGTAGCTTCCATGGCAGCCAAGGGCTTTGCAATATGCCAGAGGCATGCCAAGTCTGAGAAAGACTAGCAACCTCCACTTGGGAGGACTGAAGAGAAAACTGTCCAGTGGTCACATTCCAGTATGAATGGGGCACCGGAAGTTAGTAATGAATTCAGAGGTTGAAGGGGAAGGAAAGTTTTATTTTGAGTGGTTCCAGAGGGCTCAATGAAGTTAAAAGCCGGGTGGCCAGGGAGGATCACTACAGCCTTGAGTGAGTGTTATTTCCAAGGTCACTACTGGTTCTGCCCTTGCAAAGCACATGACCTTGGGCACATCATTGCCCACTCATCTCTCAGCCTAAAGTCAGAAGATATCTACAGACACAAGCTGCCTTGCCTTGGAGGGGCCTGTGAGAGCCGCAGTGGCTGGAAGATAAAAGGAGCCAAATCTGAATAGACAGGGCAGGGGCAGGAGGCAGGAAGTCACCTGTGAAAACAGAATACTGGTGACTGGGCCACCCTCTTCCTATCCTCACTAGTGACCTGGATGAGGAGAAGGGGCCTCAGGAGAGAAGGCACAGGTAGCCACCCCCACCTGAGGCCCAGTCTGTCAGCCTCTCCCTAAGCCCCACTGACCACCTCAGAAATCCTCTGCCCACAAAGCAGCCCCTCCCCTGCTTCAGAACCTGCAGTCCCCCTGTCTCTCATTTCCCTCTCCTCCCCATCCCTCCCACTTACCTCCAAAATAAAGAAACCAAAGGTGGACACAAGTGTGAATCTTAAATTATTATTATTTCTTCCTGTCGCTTACACCCGAGGTGGGGGGCAAGGGAAGGGGAGGGGAACAGGAGAGGGGGGATCGCCTCCCCCCTTAAGGCACTGAGTGGAGAAGCCGCAAGGGGGGAGGGGGGAGGCCACATTGTCCTCACTCCCTGGGGCTGGGCCCCGGGTCTCCTCAGCCCTGGGCTCCCCCATCACCTGAAATGCAAAGATGAGGCCCAGAGCAACCTGACCTCCCCCTACCCCAATATATTACATCATCACTTTTTAAATAGAGACAAGGACTGGTCCCGCTACCCCCTCCCTGTGACCCCCCCCATTATCGGGGGTACCTGGGCAGCTGTGCAAATGGGCATGGGGGTGCATGGGAGGGAGGGAGAGCACCGGGCCCCTGAACCTGCCCCTTTTAAGGAGGGGGGGGGGCCGCCAGGCCAGGGAGGGGAAATAGTGCAAGGCAGAGCCCAGGCCCGAGCGGGGTCCAGCACCCAGCGAGGAAGGGGGGGAGATACCCCCACCCCCAGCAGAATTGGGTAGTTAAAAATCTGAAACTAGATTTCAACAAGACCAACAGAAAAGGCTATGTACAGACCAGGGGTGGATTCAATCCTAAGGGATGAGTAGGGAATTATTCTCCCCACCCCAACAGGGAGCCCTGGCAGGCAAGGGTCTGAGGGTAGGAGTCCTTTCCCACAGGGCCGCAGCCCACTTCCCCTGGGGGGGGCGGCGAGCAGTTCCGCGACCCGGCCTTGGCAAGGGGGCGCGGCTCACCCGCTGGGGCGGTGGAGGTGGAGAAGACGGCTCCCTGGCAGTGGCCGCCAGGGGCGCTCGCCCGCGCAGGGCACAGCCGCCAGATGGCGCCGGCTGGCTCGTTCTCCGCCAGGCTCCCCCCCAGCCCCTCGCCCGGTCCCACACCCTGCACCGCGCCAGCCCGGGGGCGGCGTGAGTCAGGGGCGGCAGCGGTGGTGGCGGCGGCTCGCACCTGGGCGGGGAGGAGGTGGGGAGGAGGAGAAGAGGGTAGGACACCGCCCGGCCCGCCCTGCCCTCTGGCCCCGGGGAGGGAGCGGCGGGAACAAGACATTCCCTGCCCGGGGACGCGGGAGGGGAGGGCAGGGGAGGAGAACCGGCAGCGGCTCCCCTGGCTGGGCGGGGCCCTCCCGCTGCCCCCAGGGGCGGGCGAGCCAATCAGGCCACCCCGCCCCCTTCTCCAGGACCCCATGACTCAGCGCTGGGAGAAGGGCGGAGGGGGACTGGGATGGCTCCTTCCTTACAGGCCCAGTCCCCGTCTTTCAAGCTTTTACCTTGCTTTCCCCCACTTACCCTTCCTTTGCCGCCCCCCTTTGCATAATTCACTGCCAGGAAAAGGGAACAGAAACCAGGAAGGAGGGGTCTCGAAAGGGAGGGGCAGTCCTTCACCCCCTTACACAGCCAAAACCCCAAGGGGCATGGGGGCAGGGTAAGGCTTTGGTCCCAAGCCCCCCACCCCCTAGAAACCCGCATAGCCGAAGAGGGACCCCACAAATCAGAAATACATTATTGCTTCTACTCCCCAGGAGCAGCTGGGGACAGGGACCCCACCTTTACAATGGAGCTGCAAATATATACATAATATCATATGTATCACTCCTTGGGAGAGCACCCCAATCTGGGGAGACTGCCCCAAAACCTTCTCAGCTTGGAACTGGAATGAGGGCTCTGAGGGAAGGAGACTATTTCCGATGCCAGGGAGACTCAGTGCCTGAATCCCCAGCGACGTCTCTGCTGCATACACTCCCATTGCTTGGCATGGGCCTCCCCGGTCCCCGTGCTGCTCCAACTCGGCCACTCGTCCCTCTTTAAGCGGTGTCCATGGCACCTTCAGCCTGAGGTGTGGTGGGTGCCCCCTCCTCCTCCTCGTCATCAGGGGGCCCTGGGGTGGAGTCTGGGGGCCCGGTAGGGGCGGATGTCTCCCAGAATCGAGCCAGAGACAGGCGGAAGGTGTCCAAGTGGCCGTTGGAGAGGTCGAGGCCGGCAGGGGACGAGGTGGCGGCGGAGGGCGGGGGGTAGTGAGGGGGCGCATCGTCCTTGCGGCGCCGCCGGGTGCGCACCTCCAGGCAGTTCTGGCCCTTGAGGTGGCGCTGCAGGTGGTCCTCCTTGGCGAAAGCCTTGTGGCACAGGTGGCACTCGTAGGGCCGGTCCCCTGTGTGCAGGTGCATGTGGTTCTTGAGGTCGTAGCTGTGCAGGAAGCGGGCCGGGCAGTGCGAGCACGAATAGGGGCGCTCTCCGGTGTGCTTCCGCATGTGGATCTTCAGCTTGTCATTCCTGGGAGGGCGGGGGAGGGCGAAGGGAGCCGGTCAGCCGGGGTCCCCGGGTCGTCCGGGCCAGGGTCCCCGGCCTCGTCCACTCCTGTCCCCTAGCGCTCCTTGCCCTATTTCTGCTCCGGGAGACCCTTGCTGACTTAGCCCCAGGTTAACCACCTGCCTCCAGCACAGTCCGATCTTTAAGGCCCCACACCCACCTTCCCTGACTTTCTTTCTCCTGGTCTCTCTCCCCAGCCTGGGGACCACCCCACAGACCCTCCAGGATCACCTCCCTCCACAAGCCCTTTCTCCCTCGCGCCACCCCCCAACATGGCCCCTGCTGGGCCTCTTCCCCCTGGTGCTCACCGGGTGAAACGGACGCCGCAGACTTCACAGGCGAAGGGCTTCTCACCCGTATGGGTCCTCATGTGGCGTGGCAGTTTGCCCGCCCCGTGGATGATCTTGTGGCAGACGGGGCACTCCTGGGGCATCTGGGAGCGGCGTTTGCGCACCAGCTTGTCCTGGCTGTCCAGGCCCGCTGGCAGGGTGTCCTGGTGCAGGGAGCTGAGGTAGGCCATCAGGTCAGGATCGATGGCATCCTCGTCTGAGCCCAGCTCCTCTGGGGACAGCGGGGGCCCGCCGCCCTGTGCCAGCCCGTAGGGCGGGGGGTACACCAGCTCCTCCTCTTCTTCCTCACCCTCATAGGCCTCGTAGCTCAGGGGCCTCTCGGGGGGTGAGGCAGTCCCTGTGGGAGGGCTGTAGCTGTCCCCCGGCCCGCTGCCCCCGCTGCTGCCCACTCTGCCCGCCTCCTCCTCCTCCTCGTAGGTTAAGGGCTGGGTGGGCACGTCGGGCACCAGGTGGTTGGCCCGGGCCCCCTTGGTCTGCAGGAAAGCTTTGCGGGGCTTGCGGCTGCGGCGGGCAACAGGCCGAGGCGGCGGCGGTGGCGGCGGCGGGAGGGGTGCCTGTGGAGGGCTGTCGTCTCCATTGGGGACTCCCGAAGCTGAGGCGGTGGCTGTACAGGCGAAGGCTTCCAGGTACTGCCGCGCGCGCTCACAGTCGTCCTCGTCCGGGCTGGGCGCCTCTAGTCCGCTGCCCTGCAGAATCTCCATGCAGGCCGCAATGACGCAGGGGATCTCCAGCAGCCGTGCGGCCTGCAGTACTGCCGGCATGTTGGCGCTGCTGGTGGTCAGGGTGGCTGTGTAGGCAAACTCGAGCAGGGCACCCAGTGCCTCCGGCCCCACAAAGTCCAACTCACACACGCCGGCCCCTGCACCCCCGGCAGCTGTCCCACCGCCCCCAGCGCCCGAGAGCGCGCCCCCACCACCCTCGGTGAAGAGCTTCTTGAAGTAGTGGCTGCAGGCAGCCAGCACAGCCCGGTGGGTGCGGTACTCCAGGCCCTGCGTCCGGATGGTGAGGTCACAGAGGTGGCCCAGCTGGCGCTGCTCATTGAGGCAGCTCAGGAGCTCACTGCTGTGGTCTGGGAATGGAATCCCGATCAGGTCATCCTCAGGGCTCCCCATCTTCTCCTGCAGAGCGAAGGAAAAGGGGAGGTTAGGAGCGCTCAGCCCTGCCAGGGGGCCCCCAACACTGGCCATGAGTCTAGGCCCTTCAAGTACTTTACACTCATTTCATCTTCCACGACCTTCTAAAGTAACAATTACCTATTTCACAGACAGGAACCTGAGGTGCAGACAGGTGAAGTGACTTTCTATATTAAGTGCGGAACAGGTTCAAAGCCAGGCGGCCGGCCGAACCATGTTCCTAACCACTGTGCATCATTCTGCCTCAGTGAGCACGGGAGCTCTGCCTTTCTGGCCTTTCCTAGAGACCCATCTGCTTCACCTGCCCCGTTCCCATCCCTTTGGAAGAAGCACTGGTCTGGGAGAAAAGATGCCTGTGTTCTAGTTCAGGCTTCATGAAGAACTGGCTGAAGGACTCTGGGTGCCTCTTGCAGCTAGCCTCAGGCATCTGAAAAGTGGGGTCACAGTCTCCCTAATGGAACCTCCTCTCAACCCAGAGAGAGGGCAATGAGAGAGTTCAGATTCACATTGGGCCAAGGTCTGTTCAAGGCAAGGTCAGGTCCTTTAGCTCACATTATCTCCCTACAGCATTTGGTGCACTATAAAACACTAGGCAAACCTGGGAGGTGGCTCCCCAGGACCCCACCTCCTCCTTCCCCACCCACTAAAAGTTCATCTCCCCTTCTAGATCTCCCCCTTGTAGAGGCCAAAAGGGAAACACAGCTCCCAGCATACCTCCCCCCACATCCTCCCCTCCCCCATGGGGCCAAGGAGCAGCCACCCTTTGCTGGGGTGTCGCTGGCGCTGGCGCGGGTGCTTCCTGCCCCGCACCGATAAGCATCGTCCCCGCCCCTCCCCCCCTGCCAATAGGCCAAGTTCCAGTCCTACCCCTCCTCCACTGGGCTACCACCACCACCCCTCCCTCTCCATTCCTGGCCAGTCAGGAGAGTCCCTCCTCTCCAGAAGACCTTCTTCCACCCTCTGTGCTGTCCTCCCCAAGGCACAGCCACGGAAGGCAGTCCCAAGGCTGGTGGAGGGAGGCGGGTGGCAGAGTGAGTCTGGCCTGGAAGCGAGGAGATCAGCTTCTAATCCTGGCTCTGCTACTATCTTGCCAAATGACCTTGGCCAAGTCATTTCTCTCTGTGCTTCAGTCTCCTCATGGTACACAAGGAGTGGGTGGGGATGAAAGCCGCAGGGGCTCAGCCCTTCCACGCTGACATTTGGTGGTCTGGATCAACTGGAGACAGAGTTGAGGCCTGAAAAGAGCTGGACTCTGGAGTCATCCAGGCTTGAGTTTGAATCCTCACTCTAAGGCTGATTAGCTCTATGATCCTTAAACAAGTTGTTTAATCTCTGAACTTTCTTTTCCGTCTGTAACATGGGATAATTCCACCTGACTCCTAGGGCTGTGGTGAAGGTTAAATGAGCCTGTGGGTGGCACAATGCCTAACATATAGTAGGGGCTCAATAAAAGTTCTGGCCTTGGGAGGGAGAAACCAACCCTCACCCGGAGGCAGACTGCACTATACAGATGGTCTCTGTTGGGAGAAAGGTCTGTCTCCCTCCGTCAAATCACCCAGGGGGAGTCCAGTTACTACTAGCTACATGACCTTGAACCAGTCACTTTCTTTCCTGTTTCCTCATCTGCAAAATTAAAGACTGACCTGGATGATCCCTAGGGCAAGTCCCACTGACAGTTTGTCAGTGTCTTCTCTGCCACTCCCAACAACTGCTCAGTTTCGGCCACTGATGGGGAAGGGTTTTGAGGGGGTCGGAGGAGTCGAGGGCTACAGGTTTCCTTTTGAGGACACAAGAACTGCATCGTCTCTGCCTGCCTCCCCGTCTTCACTATAGCATCCGGATGCCTGCATGGAAGCCTTGAGTGAGCAGCACCCATGTGCTGGCTCATAAGCCACAGTCAGACACCCTCAGATAGCCCACCCCTTCCCACCTTAAATCCCCAAAACACTTCTCTCCCTGGAGACCGAGCAGTCTGGAGCACTCCCAGTTGCCTTGGGTTTCCCCACCTGTACTTTACAAATAGTTCAAGTGGCAAATGGCCCTGGGATTTAGGAGCAAACAGAACCAGGTGGGCAGCAGCAGTGGCCACTCAAGTGGCAGCGGCACCCTCCCGGGCCCAGGTGAATCCTGACCCTCCTGAGGGGGTGGGTGGGGCTGTCCTCGCTGTCCATTGGCCCGGAGCTGCGCACCCGCAGGCACGTGGCTCACCCTCTCGTCCCTCTCCCTTCTTCCCTCCACACCCCATCCATTCCCGCTGCTTAAGCCCGCCTCCCTTCTCCCACCCCAGGGCCATCTCCGTGGCAACTTGGTGTGGCAGAGTTGCTGATTGGCTGACCCTGCTGTCAGGTCACAGGCTCAGGCTGGTTCATGATGCAGATCACACGGGGCTTGGGCAAGGGTGGGTGTTTAACCCCTAGGGCCTAACTCCAAAGCCCACGGCCATGCGGTAGCAATGAAGGAAGAGAGAGGCAGAGGACCCATTTGGGAAGGGGAGGTGTTCCTACGGGTCTCTAGCTTCTGGGAAACTCCCCTAGCCCTTACCCAGGGCTCTGGCACCCATGCTAACTTAGGTGCCACCTGGAGCTAGGCTGGTGCCAACCAGGCCAAGGGGGCACTCCAGGCCCCATCATCTGGGAGGGCTTGATGGTGACGAACTCCCCCCTTCTTTCTGCCAGGGTGGGGCACTGATGCCAGGGTGCCCACCCCAACTTGGGCACCCTTCCCACCTCTGT